GGTCACACATTGTGGTTTTCTTCTTGTTCCCAACAACACCCTCAACTCCACACTGTCTGTTACTCATGATGGATGGAAAGCTGTGTGTAGGTATACAGCTTTCTTACAATTATTATTATTATTATTATTTGATACAGAGTCTTGCTCTATCACTCAGGCTGGAGTGCAGTGGTGCAATCTCAGCTCACTGCAACCTCCACCTCCCAGGTTCACGCGATTCTCCTGCCTCAGCCTCCCGAGTAGCTGGGATTACAGGCACCCACCACCACGCCCGGCTAATTTTTGTATTTTTAGTAGAGACACCAACATGGTTTCTCCATGTTGGCCAGGCTGGTCTCGAACTCCCGACCTTAGGTAATCTCCCCACCTCGGCCTCCTGAACTGCTGGGATTACAGGCTGGAGTGCAGTGGTGCAATCTCGGCTCACTGCAACCTCTACCTCCTGGGTTCAAGCGATTTTCCTGCCTCAGCCTCCCAAGTAGCTGGGATTACAGGCGCCCACCACCACGCCCGGCTAGTTTTGTATTTTTAGTAAAACGGGGTTCACCCATGTGGGCAGGGCTGGTCGTGAACATCCGCCAACGTCAGGTGATCACACCCACCTCTTGTCCTCCCAAAGTGCTGGGATGACAGGTGTTGAGCCACCGTGCCCAACCCGTGAGTTTTTAGTGGTGAAATTGCTGAGATTTGGTACACCCATCCCCGCGAGCCATGTGCACGACTTCGCAGATAGTACTGTTTTAAAAACTTATTCTAATTTTATATTATTGTTGAGACAAAGTTTGCATCTGTTCGCCAGCGCTGGAGTATAGTGACTTCGCTCTCGCCACCACCTCCCACGCAATTCTCCCGCACTAGCGGCACGTCGGCACCCCTCCTACATCTTGTCTTCTTCTAACACACTCTCATCATGTGACAGCTGCACTTGCACCTCGGGCGCTGCGTCACCTCCAAAGTGCTGGATGACAGTGTCGAACCATTCGGCCGACTCTTCTTCTTTTTCTTTTCTTTTTCTTTTCTCTTTTTTTTTTCGATAGTTCTTTTATCCTCACCCACCTCCACATTTCACCCCCTGAGCACTCCACCAAAATTCTTTTGCTCATTCGTATGTCCTTATGCATCTTATCGTATTCACTCCCACTTGTACAGTGAAAACCATCCAATATTTTTTTTTTCCATTCCTCGAGTTCCTCATGTACAGCGGCTGGCCTCCACGCTCCCAATCCAAGTTCTGCGAAGGCACTTATTTCTTCTTGTTTTTATCGCCCATAGGCAGAAAACCCAATCGACTATGCTTGGTCACTTAGAGGCGGTTATTGAAGAGAAACAGCACGCTGGCCGGGCGCGCGGGCTCACGCCTGTCATCCAGCACTGTTGGGAGGCTGAGGCGGGCGGCATCACAAGGCCAAGAGATCGAGACCATCCTGGCTGACACGGTGAACCCCGTCTCTACTAAAAACAAAAATCAGCCTGGTAGGTTGACGTGGCACACTGTCATCCCAGCTACCTGGGCTGGAATTAGGCACGGAGAGATCGCCTTACACTGGGAAGGCGGCAGCGTCTGCAGTGAACCGAAGTCTGCCAGCGCCTCGCAGCCGGCTGCCCGCCTCGCGACAGGCCATCCTAAAAAAAAAAAACAACACACCCCAGCCTTCGTTTCTGGTCTCGTGGCGAAGAAGCGCACCGCGCTCTCGACACCCCCCGCCATCTCGCTCCTCTTCTCATCCTTTTCACTCTTGTCAGCCCGTGGCGCCTCACGCCTGTGCAATCCCCAGCCACTTTGAGCCCAGTGGACATGAGGGTTCCGGGTATCGAGACCATCCTGCAACACCGAGAAACCCCTGCCTCTGCTAAAAATCTAAAAAAAAATCAGCCGAGCGAGCGGCGCGCACCTCGGTCATGTCCCAGCTACCTATGGGGGGGAGGGCGTGAGGCAAGAATGCGGAACCCGGCGAGCCGGAGTTGCAGTGACCGAACATCGCGCACCGCACTCAGCCTGGGCACAGTGTAGACTCTGTCCAAAAAAAAAAAAAAAAAAAGAGGTAAGGCCCAGGGCAGTGACTCCTGCTTGTCATCCCAGCAGTTTGGAAGGCTGAGGTGGGTGGATCAGTTGAGCCCAGAAGTTTACCATCAGCCTGGGTAACATGGTGAGACCCTGTCTCTACCAAAAAAAAAAAAAATAGCCAGGTGTAGCCGTGCACAGCTGTGGCCCCAGATATTCTGGAGGTTGAAGTGGGAGGATCGCTTGAGTGTGGCAGGTGCAGGCTGCAGTGAGCGATGATCGTGCCACTGCACTCCAGCCTGGGCGACAGAGCGAGACTTTATCTCAAAAATAAAAAAATTTAAAAAATGAAAGAGTTTGTAGCAAGACTTGTTGGTTGGATAGGACCTGAGAGAAAATGTTTTTTTTGTTCATGGTTTTGCAACCTGAACAACTGTTAGGATACCTTATGGTTTACTGGGAAGCACCCAGGGTTGGAATCTGGAAGCTGCACGTGAGTTCCATTTACCATGAGACCCCAGGCAAACTGCCTAACTTCTGTGACACATAGTCATATTGTTTCTCCTTCCTTCCTTCCTTCCTTCCTTCCTTCCTCCTTTCCTTCCTTTTCTTCTTCTTTTCTTTCTTTCGTTCTCTCTTCTCTCGCTCTCTCCGACTCCTTCTTCCCTTTGCTTCTTTTCACTTCTGTTTCTTCTCTCTTCTTTCTTTCTCTCTGTCCTCTCCTCTTCTCTTCTTTTCTCCTTTCTCGTCTCTCTCGTTTCTCCTCCTTCGCTTCTTTTCTCTTTCTTTCTTCTTTCTTCCTTTTCCTCTTCTTCTTTCCTCTCTTCTCTTTCTTTCTTTGTCTTCTTTCTTTTCTTTTTCTGTTCTCTCT